GCTCATTTTCTTGTCAAAATATATTTTAAAATAGTGATTTAATAAAGAATATGTGGTTAAAAAATAAAGAAAAGTTTTGAATTTATGTATAATATTATTTTATTAAGAATGTATGATTGAAAATAAGAGAGAAAAAAGCGTATTTTAAAAATAATGTGGACCAAATGGGAGCTAATTTTTCCCCGAAAAAGAAAAAAAAAGGTTTATTACAAAAACGCCTTTCATCGACATTGTCTATAAGAATCTTGCTATATGTATATCAAAATTTATACAGTAAATTATATAATATCACATGATACTTTATCATTTGTCAATTTTAAACATGAACTTCTTTTTCATTCAATCTTTTACCTCCACCTCGTATTATTATGTAATCCTGTGTTCATTTTTTTTACTTACAACTACCAAAATCCGTCTATAAATTGGCGTGTCCTCTGCATAGCCATTGCATCCCAGCTCTCTCTCTTTCTCTCTGCGATTACAATCTCCTTCTTCACCAAGAATCTCACTGTCCGAGATTTAGGTACTCCATCTTGAACATTTCCAGCAATTTTTCTTGTCCTCAAATGCAGAAAATGAAAATATCATTTTCGAAAAAAATAAAATAAAAAAATAATCCATTTGCATGTGTATTCTAATACATCTGTGTGAGCTGCATTCTGTTTCTTTTTTCTTTTATGACAGAATTTTATGCAGCCATACTTTAAGTGTCGATATGAAAATTTCTGGGTTTGGAAATTAGACCATTTTTAAGTGCATCTATTTGCATGTGAGTGTTAAAAGCTCAAATTTTTGATCACTTTGATTCATTCAAATTTGTGAGTTTTGGACTCGTTTTTTGCAGGGTGTTTGGATTGAGAGTTAATGGGCACTAGGAATATGGAGAAATTAGCATCAATTGATGCCCACTTGAGGCTATTAGTGCCTGGAAAAGTGTCTGAAGATGACAAGCTTGTTGAGTATGATGCTCTGCTTTTGGATCGATTTCTTGATATTCTGCAGGATTTGCATGGAGAAGATCTCAAGGAGACGGTATACATTTTTATAACTAAACCCTTTCTGGATTTAGAAATTTGACTTTTTTTCTTGAACTTGGTGTTGCATTGATTTTGATGGTAAAAATTTGATTTTGATAATGAATACCCAATTCATTTAGGAATCCTAACTGTGCTTATTAATTGGTTCTTGGTTGTATTGTGATTGTAAGAAGCAAAGTTGATGACGACTTGAGAAAAGGCCTATTGGAGTATTACATCAAAGACTGTAATTTTATGCTCCTTTTGATTGATTGATTCTAGAATGGACTCGATAGTATAATGAACAAGATTTTAGCTTCTTTTTGTTTTTCGGATCATGGCGATGGTTTTGACTGCTTTAATATGCTTTTTCATTTGTGGATCACACTATGCTATACATGGTTTGGTGTCTCACTAAATTGACTCCACATTATAAACACATTCTATATTACCGGAGGTCCGGAACTACGTAATCCGTTGATAGGTGTTTGATTTCACGATCAATGTAGTAAAGGGTAATTTATAATTTTTAGTGATAATTATAGGTGCAAGAGTGCTATGAGCTTTCTGCAGAGTATGAAAGCAATCTCGACTCACAAAAGTTGGAAGAGCTTGGAAATGTTTTAACGAGTTTGGATCCCGGAGATTCAATCATTGTTGCAAAAGCTTTCTCTCATATGCTTAACTTGGCCAACTTGGCAGAGGAGGTTCAAATTGCTTACCGCAGGAGGAACAAGAAGAAAAAGGGGGATTACACAGATGAAAACTCTGCTACTACTGAATCTGACATTGAAGAAACTCTTAAGAGACTTGTAATTGATTTAAAGAAATCTCCACAAGAGGTTTTTGATGCACTGAAGAATCAGACGGTGGATCTGGTTTTTACCGCTCATCCTACCCAAGCTGTTCGAAGATCATTACTTCAAAAACATGGAAGGTTTGTTCTCCAATTATTATGTCTATTCGACTATTTGCATGAATGGAGGGCTTAGAAAATTTATAAATTAGTTTACTTAATTTTGATTTCTTTTTAAGCTTAGCCAAACTTGCTCTACATAATGAAGAAGCATATCACGTGTTTGATTTCTATCGTATGGAAAATCTAATGAAGCCCCTGTAATCTTCTCAATTCATGTGCTTGTATTTCTTATTAACCTACTCCATCTTGTTCAGAATTCAGAATTGCTTATCCCAGTTGTATGCCAAAGATATTACACCTGATGATAAGCAAGAGCTTGACGAGGCCCTACAGAGGGAGGTAAATTTCGGTGCTTAATTAGTATCCTTTGTTACTTTATTGACACGCGTGTACACAGACATGGTTTTTTTCCATTTTTGCAGTTCTTATTTACTGTTTTCTTTTGATATGTAATCGTCTTTCAAAAACCTTTTCTTTCTGAAGTAGTGAAGCATCATGATTGTGTATTGTAAAGCTCAAAACTGAGAGAACAACATATTTCTTATACTACTGCTTCCTCTAATATTTGGTTGCAGATTCAAGCGGCTTTCCGAACCGATGAGATTCGGAGGACTCCTCCAACCCCACAAGATGAAATGAGGGCTGGAATGAGCTACTTCCATGAAACTATCTGGAAGGGTGTGCCAAAGTTTATGCGCCGTGTTGATACAGCACTTAAGAATATAGGGATTGAAGAGCGAGTTCCTTACAATGCTCCGCTTATACAATTCTCTTCTTGGATGGGTGGAGATCGTGATGGTATGAATGAACATGCAACTCGAGAAAAGATCTATAACCTCTTCTCTTTGAGCTTAATGATTTAAACCTGTTTCAAATCGAATGCAGGCAATCCAAGGGTAACTCCTGAGGTCACACGTGATGTTTGCTTGTTGGCCAGAATGATGGCAGCTAACCTGTACTATTCCCAGATAGAAGATCTAATGTTCGAGGTATTCAATGACTACTTCGCAACTTATCCGAGATTTTCAAACATCTTGTTCCTGATTCAGCTTTTAGGCCTTATAGTCTATATGTGATTACTCATCTTCTAACTCATTGATTTTGGTAGTTGTCCATGTGGCGTTGCAGCGATGAGCTCCGTGTACGAGCAGACGAACTCCATAAATCTTCAAAGAGAGATGCAAAACATTACATAGGTATCCTCTTAATATGTACTAATTTCACATTTGCTTTTCTAGCTGAAAACCTTCTTCCTATAAATGAAAATTACAGAATTGGAGGCTAATTCAATGACTACTTCCAAATTTTGAATAACTAGAACATTGAATTTTCCTTTCATGCAGAGTTCTGGAAACAAATTCCCGCGAACGAGCCCTATCGTGTCATCCTTGGCGACGTGAGGGATAAGTTGTATCAGACACGTGAGCGTTCTCGTCATTTATTAGCCCATGGAACATCTGAGATCCCAGAAGAGGAAACTTACACAAATGTTGAGGAGGTATCTTCGAAAACACTGCACACACATTCAAATTCATATATAACCTTCACGACATTACTTAACATAACTGGTCTGTAAGTTTCTTCCTGATATACGGTAAAAATCATTTCATAAAAGTTGTTTGATTATGTACAAAAAAATATGCATGAGATTGTGAAATGGCTGTTCTGTGTTTGCTCCTCGCCTGCAATGCTGTAATCTGTACATTTAACTTGCAAACATCTATGCTAATATTTGAATTTGCATAATGCTCTTCCATTTATAAGTAATTAAATCAGTAAATTCCAGAAAATAAGGTTCTTTCTGAATCAGTCTTGAATTCCATACAGTTCCTGGAACCTCTGGAACTCTGCTATAGATCGCTTTGTGCTTGTGGTGACCGCCCAATAGCTGATGGGAGCCTTCTGGATTTTTTAAGGCAAGTTTCCACATTTGGGCTCTCACTCGTGAGACTTGATATAAGACAAGAGTCAGATAGGCACACTGATGTCCTAGACGCCATTACCAAACACTTAGAAATTGGCTCGTATCGAGAATGGTCCGAAGAGCAGAAGCAGGAATGGCTCCTGTCTGAACTCAGCGGCAAACGACCCCTATTTGGATCTGATCTTCCACAGACCAAGGAGATTGCTGATGTTTTGGATACATTTCATGTATTAGCAGAACTCCCACCTGACTGCTTTGGAGCATACATTATTTCAATGGCCACAGCACCATCTGATGTGTTAGCCGTTGAGCTTCTACAGCGTGAATGCCATGTGAAGCACCCTTTGAGAGTTGTTCCGCTCTTCGAGAAATTAGCAGATCTCAAGGCTGCTCCTGCTGCCGTTGCACGCCTTTTCTCAGTTGATTGGTACAGAAACAGGATTAATGGTAAGCAAGAAGTCATGATTGGGTACTCAGACTCCGGCAAAGATGCTGGTCGGCTATCAGCAGCTTGGCAATTATACAAGGCTCAGGAAGAGCTTGTCAAAGTTGCAAAGCAATATGGAGTGAAGCTGACTATGTTCCACGGTCGAGGTGGAACTGTGGGAAGAGGTGGAGGCCCCACCCACCTTGCCATATTGTCTCAACCTCCAGACACTATAAATGGATCTCTTCGTGTTACAGTTCAGGGAGAGGTAATCGAGCAATCATTTGGCGAGGAACACCTATGTTTCAGAACACTCCAACGTTTTACTGCTGCTACACTTGAACATGGAATGCGGATCCCAGTCTCCCCAAAGCCCGAGTGGCGTGCCCTTTTGGATGAAATTGCTGTTGTGTCCACAGAGGAGTACTACTCAATTGTCTTCAATGAACCCAGATTTGTTGAATATTTCCGCCTTGTAAGTAACTATAAATGGTACTTCATATTTGTTCCTTGTCTCTAATGATAATTTTAATAAGCATTATATTTCTTTTCGTTACTTTCAGGCCACACCAGAATTGGAGTATGGTCGGATGAACATTGGTAGTCGTCCATCGAAAAGGAAACCAAGCGGAGGCATTGAATCACTAAGAGCTATTCCATGGATCTTTGCCTGGACGCAGACGAGGTTCCATCTCCCTGTTTGGCTTGGCTTTGGGGCCGCATTCAAATACGCCATCAAAAAGGACATTCATAACCTCAATGTACTGCAGGAAATGTACAACAATTGGCCTTTCTTTCGAGTAACAATTGATTTAGTAGAGATGGTATTTGCCAAGGGAAACCCTGTTATTGCTGCTTTGTACGACAAACTCCTAGTTTCAGAAGATCTATTGTCATTCGGTGAGCATTTGAGGGCAAACTATGAAGAAACAAAGAGTCTTCTGCTTCAGGTAGGTACATATTACGTGGTTTTAAGGATGAAGTTAACAAGATTTTATTGAACTTTTTCCTCTTTTGGTAGATTGCTGGACATAAGGATCTTCTAGAAGGAGACCCATACTTGAAGCAACAACTTCGTTTACGTGATGCCTACATTACGACCTTGAACGTGAGCCAGGCTTACACTCTGAAGCGAATCCGGGATCCAAACTACCATGTGCAGCTGAGGCCACACATTTCCAAAGAATACATGGAAACAAAACCCGCCGATGAACTTGTGAAGTTGAACCCTACGAGTGAGTATGCCCCGGGGTTGGAGGACACCCTTATCTTGACCATGAAGGGTATTGCTGCTGGAATGCAAAACACTGGTTAAATTAATTTCGTTTTCTTTTTAATCTCTTTGTATGAGAATAAGACTATGTTGTGGTGGTCACTGTTGTGCCATGAACCTGCTACTCGTAAACACGCTCTATGAATAAATTTCTTTGCTCATATTCCCGTTCGCAGTTAATTTAGCATTGATTATAATTTGGACGATTCTCATATGTAAAATACAGTTTTACGAGTCTCTTCCTCTTTACACATGGAATGAATAGCAAAATCCTAATCCGAATGCACCCCAAACTCGTAACTAAAGAATATGACTTAGGGTGTGTTCGATAGAGATTAAAATTGGATTAAAATTGAAAAACTAGTCGTTATTGTTGACTTTTATTAGACGAGTGGGATTCAATAACGGTTATATTTTCAATTTTAATTGGATTTTAAATTTTGCCAAACATGCTCTTAATAAACAAGCATTGCAGTCAAATACCGATGAGTTAGTAGGTTAGTGAGATGTACCCGAATGATTAACACTAGTGTCTAGATGGTGTTAGTCCCAGATTAAGACTCAACTAGCACCAAAAGTATAAAGTAAAATCGAAAAACAGTAAAGAACGTAAATAATTTTCAACATAAGATTCAGTGATGCGGCTAACACCCAGTTCTTCCTTAAGTGTTAGTTAAGGATTACTCTTGAATCCATTAACATAGTCTAAATATATAACATAAAAGTTTAGATTATAGATTGAGTGTCACACAAAGAACAAAAATGAGGAAAACTCTTACAAGTACAATATTTGAAACCTCTCACAAAGAGGAGGTACTTTTCCATTAAGACACAAAGAAACATTTTTCTTTTCCACAATTTCTACACAGAAATTCAAAGAAAGAAAGAAGAAGACGAAGAACAAAAAGCGAGAACCAAACTAAACAAAAGTAGGACGATGGTAGATCCAACTTTATGTGCTTTGATGAAAGTGGTCTTTTCACATTTTTACAACTCTGTGTCATTGACATTCACGTTAATCGATTATGGTTTAAATCAAAACTTCGAGAATCGAAAAAGGAAAATAAAGACATTAGAATCGCATGATATACTCTTATTCCCTCTACAATTAGCAAGAAAACCAGCAGAGTTATATAGCTTGAATAAAATTGTTATTTTTATTTTTTTACAGGGTGGAATTTACAAAATCCTAAAAATCAAAGCCCCATTTTGCAAAATATAAAAAGTCCAACTTCTTCAATTATTACGATCAAGAGTAGTAAAGAAGAAGGGACCATCCAATTCAACAAGAAAAGCCCTTTCATTAGCGTTAAATCTCCGACCGAAGGCAGAGAGAAAAAAGAACATTTGAAAAATTCAATTCAATGGCCAATAGCAATTTACCCCGGAGAATCATCAAGGTAAAGCGTTGATCATCTTGTTATACACTCGATCCCTCCTCCAATTTTAAAAATTAGGGTTGAATTGTATTGATTATAGCGTTTCGTTATTTTTAATGGGTTTTTGTTTTTGTGATCTAATAGGAGACTCAGCGTCTTCTCAGTGAACCTGGTAAATCCTATTACATCATTATATTAATTTTTTGTTCGTATTTATAGATAAAGTCAATATTTGAGCTCAATTAAATGAATTAGTTAGTTCTATTACTTTTATATGTTGAGGTAATTAGTGGTTTATTTTTAAATTTCATTTCTACTTTCCTTGGTCCTTGATTTTGTATCATTCTATTGATTATATACGAAGGTTTTATACTTATTTTCAGCTCCGCTGCCATGTGAGTTTGGGTATTTAACAACATTTTTATGTTCATAATTGATTTCCGGTGTTAAAATCTATTTATTTCTATTTCAATATTGTTTAAAAATATAAATAGGAGCTGTTTTCAATTATTGACATATTATGGGCAGTTTAGTTTATAGGATCAGAAGGATTCAAGTTTAGTTTTGTAGTTCTGCCTGAATTTTTGTGGCAACTTGTTGAGGATTTCCTAATCCATCAAAACTTGAACTGTTTCAGAAGCTAGCCTTAATTAATTCGATTTTGATTTATTTGAGTGTTTTTATGCAGCACCTGGGATAAGTGCATCTCCATCGGAAGAGAATATGCGGTATTTCAACGTAATGATTCTTGGTCCAACACAGTCTCCTTATGAAGGTAACTGGAGATGCATTTCCTTGTGACTTAATTGTTGTGTGGGCAAGGATGATGTTTCATCACCTGATATTCATGGTTTAAATATATGTTTCTATTTTGACCTTTCTCATATTCAGTCATGGCCTCCCTGTTTAATAAGAATATAGTTATCTATTTACCCTTCTACTTTTCTATGACTATTATACATGCTTAATCTGGAATTTACAAGTTTTGAAACATTTGAAGTGATAAGTGTTGCTCCAAGGCATAGGTAGTGTGTGAATGGGAGATTTTCTGAGAATTATTGGCTAAATTTGTTATTAGAGTTCTTTTTGCTGTGTGAGTACGAGTGTCCATATAAACATCTGATTCCTTATGATTATGATAGACCTATAGGCCTCTATACTTGTGCAAATTTGCTTAATACTGTTAGTAATTGGATTTTGTCATTGGAAATAGATGACTGTATGGTGGCAAACCACATCACTCTCTTGTTAAGTGGGGTACATTTCTAGATTCAAAGATATTCTTTGCACATGTACAGTATGCAGGGATCGAACATTAGTCATATTCTAAATGCCCATCAGAGGGTGTTACAAATTTTAATTGTTTTGAAGCAATTTCTATCTTGTCATTTTCTCCTTTCGACCTTTCTTTGCAGGAGGTGTTTTCAAGCTGGAATTATTTTTGCCTGAAGAGTACCCAATGGCTGCTCCCAAGGTATCTTCAAAAGGCTGCATCTGATGGCATAATTATTCATGCAATTTGTTGTAAAAAAATACTTAATGGAGATGCTATATATTAACTTTTTGGTTTCTTTTATGCCACACTATTGTCCCCTTTTGTTTTCGTAAGTTAACAGAGTATACAACTTGGGATTGAAACAAAGTAAATAAGTCTAGAGAATTAAGAAGTGCATGCCTCACAAGTCTTAAGGCATGTGCCTCGCTCAGCATGTCCTAAATTCGTGGATATTCTCATAATCAAGTTGCTTTAAGGTGTGTTCATCATTCTTTTTAATCGCACTGCATCACCCCTGCTGCTGTAGTAGTTTTTACCCCCCAATCCACCCGTAGCAAGAGTGAGAACAAGAACGAGAGGAAAAAGAGAGAAATTACAAGTCATATTATGCTTGAGTAGTGTGATGTTTTGTTCCTTGTTTAGTAGCATGAGCTTTGATTATGAGCCTTTCCCTATCAAGACTTTTGGTGTTCAACTGCTGCATTTTCTCTATGGTTTTTAAGCCGAATCAGTGGCTGAATTATCTGATAACATCTGGGTTCTAGAAAGTCTACCCCACCACCCAAATGAATATTTATATGATACCCAAGTTACCTGATTATCACTGGGGAAACTCTTTAATTTGGTAATTTGGCATTCATAGATCGTGCTTTATGGAGTGGTTATGCAGCAATGCCTAGGACTTGATGAGAACTGATGATTTAGCATCGGTCCCCAGTATTTGCCTTCCTTTACTTTATCATATATCTCACTGGAACCTCCAAGATACTACACTGGAATAATATATCCCTGTTTGGTAGAGATTAAAATACGATTTTTCGTAAATTCTGATGAAAGTTGATGAGATCTTGGGTTTGCTCCCCAATGGTCACTAGTTCGAGTTCCCTCAGGACCAGTGAGGTGAGTACCTGACCGTAAATTTCAGGGCCTCGTGGAATTAGTCGAGGTTCGCGCAAGCTGGCCCGGACATCCACGGTTATTAAAAAAAAAATTGTGGTCCCATAAAATGTGGGTTAAAATTAACCGTTGACTTTGACTTGAGATTTTAATTGGTTTTTAATCTAATCCAAACAGGGGCTAAATTAGCTGGTTCTGGAAATTTTCTAATTTGGTGGGGGTTTATTTAATTACATTATAATCCTATCCCTGTTGCAGCATAGTTTGGATACTACTTTGCGTGTATTCACGCATTTTTGACAAGTTGCGTGTCCATACTAATGATTTTACACCAGATTTTACTCCATTTTTTATACTAAAGAATGTGTATAATGTGCTGTAGTACTAAACTTGTGAAATCTCATTTTAAACAACATTCTAGTCTAATTTAGTGTTGTGTGAGTAGGTCTTATATGGTATAATTGATACAACTATTTAGCGATGGTGGTCTGTATGAAGTGAGCACCTCGCGTCTGTCCTGCAAATTTCACTATCGTCTTGACTATACATGCATGGCTCACAATTGTGACATTCCTCATAGCCCCATTGGAAATTATATTTTAAGCTGTGAGATTTAGTACCTCAAGTCCTTGTAATTGGTTGTTTCTTCATCTTCGCGTGCTTTGTTTACGTCTCTACCATTCTCAGCTGTCAAAGTGGGTACAAAGAGGCCTGCTGCATTGATTAATGACGTTTTATGAATATTATTACAGTAATTCCTAGAGGAGTTATTCCTCTTGAGATCATTGAATAACCTGAATTCATGGTAAGTGGATGGTTACAATTGCGGCAATCATCGCAAGGGGAATTATAGTTTTTATAGTCATGTCACTTGATGGAAATAAAAATCTAGGCTTTATTTGCAGTGATTCTTAGTAATTGAAATCAATCAAAAATGTGAGATCAAATTTAAAGGTAATTGTATTAGTTGAATGATGCAGAGCTGACTGTTTGTCGTTAACAACTTGTAACAGGTCCGGTTCCTCACCAAAATATACCACCCTAACATTGATAAGGTTCGTACTTCGTTTGCCCCAGTTTCAATTCTGTCTTTGTCTCAGTCTCAGTCCAATATTTAATTGTCTTACTGTTGGGTTTTCTAAGCAGCTTGGAAGGATATGCCTTGATATTCTTAAAGACAAGTGGAGTCCTGCTCTTCAGATTCGAACAGTTCTGTTGAGGTACTAGAATCTATAGTGATTTTATTTTACAAAAGCTTTTCACGTCAACGTAAGTTTGGGGAAATGACCTAGAACTGTAGAAAATGTAATTTTCCTACCTTCATTATTAACCTAAAACTGAGATAAACTAAATTGTTTGAAGAAAAATGATTCGTGTAGCCGACCCGAAATTTATTTGGAATAAGGTTTAGTTTGTTGTTTTCTGTTGTATTTGGTGGAAGTGCGACCCTCCGACTTATCTAATAGCCAAACGTCACTGCTGCACATGTTATATTTCATAAATACCCATAAATTTACCATTCTATTGTCTCCGTTTAGCATTCAAGCACTTTTAAGCGCTCCAAATCCGGACGATCCACTCTCTGAAAACATTGCTAAGCACTGGAAAACAAATGAGGCCGAAGCTGTCGAAACAGGTAAGCTGTTACTGTACTCGTAGGGTTAACATGCCTTGCTTATAAGTAGAAACTCAATACTTGTGGAAGTTCATATTTACTAAAATCCTGCAGCCAAAGAATGGACGCGTTTATATGCAAGTGGTGAGTGAAGTACATGGAACTCAGGGCTTTGATATAACAAAAACATGTATTTGATTGATGGAAATATCGAAAACTTTGAAGGAATCGATGATGCTCAAACTAATGGGAATTCAAATTAATGTTCTCAAAGGCTATAAATTTCTTTCCTGCTTTCGAACTATGTAATTGAAATTTTATAATGAGCCGAGGTACTCTTGTTGTGTCTTTTCTTTTTCTTTGCTCAATTTTTCCCTTGGAATTGGCAAAGTATACGGTACAACCGATATTGCCTCCTAAAATGTTGATCAGACGGTCAATATTTGAGACCCTCTTTTTTGCCTTGTGTTACAAGCCGTTACATGCCTTCGACTATAGGGCTAGGTTCTTGTGAATAAGATGCCGCTTCACGAGAAGCTTAGGGAATAGTACTGCACTGCATTATAGGTCTTTTTCATTTTACGGTACCGTGTCTCGACTTTGTACTTGTAGTAGATAACGTCCCTTATGTTGAAATAGTACTGCACAGAATTAAGCCCTTGTTTGAGTCCAATTCTTATAAAAATTCGGGGCGTTTTCTTTATGTTTCAGTTTTGAATTCATTTGGGATTTTGTGTTTTGAATATTCATTTTGAGATTGTTGAAAATATGTTCTTTTTAGTATTTTGAAAAATTGTTTTGAAAACACTCAAAACGCATTTTAAAAATTTTGGCTTGATTATAACTGAAAACACCAAAAACGACAAATTTGTCGTTTTGGGTTTTATTTGTAAATTTGTAAATTGTTTTAAAAAACGCATTTTCACTGTTTTGAAAAATCGAAATCGGAAAATGGCTTGAAAATGATAAAGAGAACTTACCTTCATTTGTTCAAAATTCATTTTCAATCACACATTTTTTAAGAAAATAATATTACACGTAAATCAATAACTCTTTCTTATTTTTTAATCACATTTTTCAAAAAATTATTATTTTAAAATACATTTTTTCTTCAAAATGGGATTCAAACACAGGTTAAGAATAACGGGGGTTGTTGTGTATGTCGTTTTACCCTGTTAAAATAATGTCTACTAATACATAAGATTCATTTTTTTTTCTAAAATAATGGTTTAGAAGAAAAACGGCGTGAATCAAACGAGTGTACGCTTTTCTTGAAAAAAATTTCCTATAAAATGAAGAGCAGAGCGGACAAGAAAAATGATAACTGAAACACACTCCATGCATTAACCCAGGTGTTAAGACATGTCCTCGTCACCATTCAGAAATCTAGGAGGATGGGATTCATTTTTAAACGGCTATATTTTCTGCACAGCTTGGATTATCAGTCTGCTTAAAGCTCTATCATTTCGTACACTGTACGAACTGTACCAAAGCAAGGCTGCAGAGGCTTTTATTATTAACTTCTGTCATTATTTTTTTGTGGGCCCTTTTGGATTCTCCTTTGTTTGGACAATAGTGTTCACTCCACGTCACTTATTTTTGGTACTGTAGATTGCACGGTTAGATAACGAATATATTTGAGTTTGTAACGTCTGTATATTAGTATACCAAACATGTCCTTAGTGTTCTTAGACGACGGGGGAATTAAATTTGGTATATACTATTTCTTGGCAACACAAGTCACAAGTGCAATGAATATATTAGTATACCAAACATGTCCTTAGTGTTCTTAGACGACGGGGGAAATAAATTTGGTATATACTATTTCTTAGCAACACTAGTCACAAGTGCAATGAATGAGAACAGGAGAATTCATTGCAAAGGTACACAAAGTCAGCTTCAAATGAATGGGCATGGCTGGATTCCCATGTTCTTTTGGACAGTTTTGTCTTTGATTATGGCCTATGTATTATGTATGTGGGGACAATTGGATGTTAGCCAACTTTAATGAACTGTAGAAAACCATCTACAAGAGGCTCTTTGACAATAACAATTCAAATATTGAGTGTTCGATTGGCAATTGGAAGACAAGATTGTTTCAAGCGCAAATGAACGAAAATACCCCACCAGAGAGAGGTAATTGACGTTCCATTTGACCACAAGATGCGAATATAAAGCTAAAACTATAAATTTCTAAAGCTCGTGAAAAAAAAGAGAGAGAGATGCCTCCCATATTACTCATAATACATTGCTTGTTACTTACAATATGTAGGAATAGCGACGTAATGATGGGCTCTAGCTGTTTTGCCCTCACAAGAACATGTTCTTAAACATTACTCACCCATCCACCGCTGAAAACACCACTTCCCGTCTAAATTGTATGTATTAAGCATACTGTGAGCATTCATCTTGAGCTACTATCAGGGGTAGGTGGGTGAGGTGGGGTGGGGACAGTCCAGCCCGGCACTAATAAATTACATCAACTACACGCACCCCAAACCTACCCTTTAATAAGAAAGACCAACCATACATTAAAAACAGAGAAGGTCTCGAATTATGTAGGAAATAAATGTATTTAATACATTAAACAACGAATGATGAAAATTTTTGACAGGTTTTATTGATAAAATAATTGAGCAAATAAGCATCAAATATCAATGGACATCCACTTTCCACCAATGTTGTATGCAATGTACAGATTCTCAGTGCAAAAGCCCCACACAGCCAAGCCAGTAATCCATGTCTCTCTATATCTAAATTTCAGCTATAGAGACAACTTATAATTATATATGCTAATAGCTACTCGTTTTTGGACAAAGATACAATAGTAGTACGAGGCCGGCCTATCAGAAAAGGGGAAGTAACAGGAGAGTGGAATTCGATGAATGAATGAATAAATAAAAAGAGCAAAAGGGTACTAAGCTATGTCTTTTAACTCGGCTGGCATTCGACTGATATGGCTTCCTGTTGAGATTATTATGTAGTAGTAGCTTTGATTATGCCGTAGGTAACTAACAATCCTCGAAGTGGTGCGTCGAAAGGTGGTTTGATCTAAATGCTATAATGCCTCACAGAGGATTCAACCAGCTCCGGACTAGGGCAGACCATTTCCTTCACTCGGCTGCCCCTCTTGTATATCTTGAATGTAGGTACAATGCTGACATTCTCGGCATGAACGACTGCAGGGCTCTTATCGACATCCACCTTCGATCATATGTGTAAGAACATTAATAGGAGTTCAGAGGAAGCATGGAAACACAATCTTACTAAAAAAGAAACTCCGGCCAAATAAAATGCTTCGACCACCTACCTTAAGAAAATTTACAGATGGATACCGAGCACACAAAGTGTCCAGGAATGGAGAAATCTGTTGGCATTGTAGGTTGGATGCTGCTTTAAAATGGACCACAGTTACACCTGATTATCAAATATTATTATTAGATTGCTCTGAGACGACTATGAACGTGTAAAGGCCATGGGTGTCATCTCGTTTACCAGGTGAAGAAATTGCAGCTCGGAACTGCTCAAGATCTGAAACAGACTCCACTTCTCCACCAAATTTCATGTTATAAACATCCTCTCCCCGAGATTTCTTCAATGCAACTTGAGCATGAAATAAAGACTCGGCAACCTCATTGTCATCTGGGAGTTCCCCTTTCAAAACCTCGTAATCTCTCACAGCTTCAGCCCATCGTTCCAGCTATAACAAACTTCAGGAGATTAGATTTAAAGATCAAATTTCAAATAAAACTGTAAATGCTTCAAAAGTCTTCGTGGAAAATTTTAAAATATTCAAATATTTTAAGGTAGCATTGTACCTTGCTGTTTGAGGCAGCCCTTCGAAGTAGAGCTTTAATGTAGTTGGGCTGAATACGGAGAGCTACATTGCAGTCGTCCACTGACCGCTCCCACTGTCCAAGCTTAAACCAACAAGCTGCCCTATTGCAGTAGAGAACGGAATTTAAAGGATCATGCCTGAGTCCTTCAGCATAGGCTAAGCAGGCTTCAGTATACCTTTCCGATTGGAAGAGATCATTCCCACGAGCACGAGCTCGACCCACTAACTTCGCATTGTTAAGTATAAACGAAATTTCAACGTTTAGAGGGTCAATTTGTCCTGCTTTCTCGATGGCTCTAAGTGCATTGTCAGACCTGCAAATTCACCATCCATTTCATAATTAAAATCCTTATTTTTTTTGGGTGCCTGATGGGAGTGAAAATTCATGGATGACGCTCACCTTCCCTTTGCCAAGTCAATTTGGGCTCTGACATAGAAAGGGTATGCTTCAAAAAGCATCCCAAAAATTTTCAACTGAGAATGGGAAATGTTGGATGATTCAAGTTTAGGAATATTAGATAGAGCCAGAACTGCATCGTCTAGTTGGTTGAGCTTCAAGAGAGCTTCTGCTCTACACGCACAAAGCTGTAAATTCAAATTCAAACGCCTCAGTTACAGAATTTTCCATTTCCATTATAAAATCTTTATTACATTACATGAACAAGGATTTACAAAGCACCTGAGGCGACATGTCAGCTCCCGAAGCAATGGCAGCATCAGCTTCCTTCAATGCGATTCTCCAGTCTCCAACTCTCCGAGCATCAGCACATTTGGTCAGGTGTTTCTCCACAGCATGCAACTTCTGCAACTCGATTGGATCCGATTGATGCCCTGGAAAACAAAGGTGCTTCCGGGCATTCTCGACCTGTCCTAAACTGCAACCGTCAGAGGGGTTAGATTGCTTAATGCGTCGTGAAAACAGACATTACACTTATTCACCCCTTATTAACATAAGAACTAAAAAGTAACCCATTGCCTCCATGAAATCAATATGGTCCTCCAGCCTACCAATAGGCTTATAGACTAGAGGAGAAACATACAGTAAACAGAGTAAAAGATCGAGCAAATCCCGATCACAATGGGAAACAGACAGAATACACAACAGTGACATTAGCCACAACAAAACAAAAAAGTCAAAATCATAAAGAACTGAAATCTAATCCAATCAGATCTCTAAACATTACTCATTCTCATCAATGCAGATCAGTATTTGCAACAAACTCAAATCAAACTAAGCAACAAGACTGTAAAGATATCAAATTTATAACATAAACACAATAAAGATTTGATCTTTGTTCATAGACTCACCTAAGAAGCAAAGATCCTAAGCGATGGTGAGCACGAACATAGCCCGGATCCAACCTAATCGCCTCCTCGCATTCCCTCACGGCCTCGGGCAAATGCCTCAAGCCCATCAAAGCTGCCGCCCGGTTGAAATGGTAGGCGGCATTGCCCGGAGATATTGCGATTGCTTTATCGTAGAAGCCTAAGGCATCGGCGAAATGACCTTTCTTGTAGTTTTCATTTCCTATTCTCTTCAACTCCTCTGGATCATTACTAATGTGCATTCCCATTTTCTTCACTGGCTCGCTGCCAACGATTAGTCCTCTCGAGTAATTCGGTGACGGCGGCGGCCCACCATCGGATTTAGATGCAAGACCGCCTCGTATTATGCTGCCGTGGCCATAATTCCCACTGCCAGAACGCAAAACATCGGTCTTGGTGGACCGGCTAACCATGCCAGTTTTCAAAATCTTGCCGGAGGGACAAATATTCCCGGTAGGAAGGACATTGACCGACGGAGAATTGACTGAACCCCCACCGGAGTGAATTAGCGGGAGTATACCCCCAGAATAAGATCGGGAATGGCCAGGTTTGAAATTACGAACACTCGACGGGGAACTCTCCACGGAACAGCCCGAAAGCTCGCCGGAATGGCTTTTTTGGGAATCAGTCTTTTTCGGGAGAGTCGGGCTGGGCCCACTGGAATTCCTTCCGGACACCGATCCCGAGGAACTGGAACTGCTGCTCGTGGTGATAGCGGTGACTCCACTCTGGCGAGTCCTCAGCGGCGAAATAGGAGAGCCCAGATCAAGTTCTCGAAAATCCGGCTTGTTAACATTAACACCGGAATCTTCTTCATCAAAGCTCAATATCAACCGATCTGTCAGCTCCTCTAACCCTATCTCCGACATGGGTTCCCCTGAATTCGACATTTTCACACTTCCCACCCAACTTCGTCACTCTCTCTCTCTATAATTAAAAAAAAAGTTTTCTCTTTTGGGTTGCTTTCTTTTTGCTCACTTTTCTCAATGTAACTCACCAATGCAAAGTGCAAGAAGAACAACAACTGCGAGAAGATAGAGAGAGACGTAGCAACTTTGAAGACGACATGAAGTGAGAGACACGGAGAGGGTAGGAAAGAGAGAGAGAGAGAGATGGGGATCTCGTGATTTTAATGAGTGAAGCTAAGAACGAATGTGAATTTTAGATGGAGAAAACAGATTATCTTCTTCACCATAGAAATGAAGAAGTTTTACAGAGAGAGAAAGTGATGGAAGAGGAGTGGAGGAGGAAAAGAAAGAAGTTTTACCAGCTATTTCACGAGAGAGACAGCCTTCTACATTTTCTCTCTCTCTCTATACATACAATTTTTTTTTTTAATAAGTTACTTTTTTATTATTTCGAAAAATCAATAAAACATAAAGCCATATTTCTAATAAAAAATAAAAAAAATGTTATTCATCCCTAGTGTGGATGCATCTCCAATCTATGTGAATATAAATGATTGGTTAAATGATATGTAAAATTAAATAACTTATTTAATTTCATCTACTATTTAATGCCACATTAACGCCATATAGATTGGGGATGAATAGCATTTCTCATAAAAAATTATCACTAGGACTCTATTGGGAAATTAATTTTTTAATAATATTATTATTGACCAAAAATTATAGAAAATAAATTTTCTTTTTGAAAATTATAGAAAAACATTTGTAAAAATTATAAAAAATGCAAGTGGACTAAGAGTAGGAAATACCATGAATTTTCTTATATTTGCATGAATTAAAGTAATTATGCGTGGGAGTTTCAATTTTTTTTGATAAGGATTATACGTCAAACACAAGCTCCAAGTTCACAAAAAACAAACGTTTAATGTGGGGAGGATATAAGGTCGAATACACTTTTGCGAAGAATTCGCTGACTTTCTGCATTAAACTGAGTGCGTTGAATTCATACGTTGCAGATTTTACGCACTATACGTCTAATATTAACATTGTATTAGATTCATACCATCTACTCTATAAAACCAAGTCTAAATGCATGCATGCCATTTAAAAAAGATTAAAAGTCGTGGCAAATTGTATGGTTCAAAGATATACTTAAATTAAAAAATAAAATTCATTTAAAACAAGTCAAAATCCAATTGATCACTTCGATTGTGAGATCATGGACCATTGGACACAAGTACCTTGTTTTAAACGAGTTAAAAACTACATCAACGTTCGTTGAGTACTAAAGACATGTTTCCTATTCATATTAAATAGAGATGAATAATACAAATGTACAATCGATAAAAGTTTTAAATTTTTTAATATTATTCAGTACAATATAATCTTATTGTACAAGCATAACGAGGCGTTAAGAATGTAACGTAAACTTCTTAAATTGCTTATGTTAACTTATAGAACGAAACTTGCAAATATGTTTTTAGGAAGTTTTTTTTTCCTTAAAATATCAATTATTACTTATCTAATAATAAGCTCATTTATCTAATAATAAGCTCATTTAAAGGAATGTTTGGCTCTCACAAACAAATTATGTGTATGAGACAACTCTTTGTTATCTCGTCCAGACGTACTAAATTTTATATATTAAGAGTGTGTTTGGTAGAGATTAAAATCGAATTAAAATTAAAAAATTAATCGTTATTGTTGACTTTTATTAGACGAGTGGGACCCAATAACGGTTATATTTTCAATTTTAATTGAATTTTTAGTGTTACCAAACAAGCTCTAAATATAAACCCCGTTTAGTGGTACAATACTTGTTTATATTAAAATCAAATTCGAACTATTTTTCCAATCGAGTTCGAATATCATCTTCTTGAATAATATCTAAGTCAATGTAGAAAATAAGTCTTAAAAAATTAAATTATCCCACGATTACTAATTTATTTTTATTTATCTACTTGACATTTTTAGAATTTAGTAACATGTCACAATCAACTTATTTTTTATTTCCAACTTGAAATTGATCGACAAAAAAAATTTCTTTATGAGGATTAATTAATGAGTATAATATATTGAGTAATGCCTATCAAAATTGGATTCTTGAAAACCACACGCTTCTTCATGGAAAACAGCTTATTTCTATTCCATACCTCAATCAAAACCATATTACTTTAGATTATAATTTTAGTAAAGGTTAGTTTGTACTTTTTACTTGCTCGTTAGCATTTTTAATTTTTCTTTTAAGACATTTGGACTTGACTATTAAAATCAAAAGGGCCCCTTTCCTTTTTTTTTTTTGTCGTGGTAAGAATTCTAATATTGAGAGATGATGACCTCGAAATCCGACCGAACAAGTTGCCAACACAATCCAGTTACCTTCCCGTCCGCATATGCATCGCTTGCACACTGGAATCCAATGTTAGGTTGCAAAGTTAACGTCTCAGAAAAAGTCCAACTATCGTGTTTACACTCTGACAATCAAGTCAACTATCGGCACACGAGAGAGAGTGCAAAGAGATGGGTGAGAGGGCATTTGGCTAGCTTTTAAATGAGTATGCCTTTTAGTGCAGCGAAAAATTTGGTATCTACATCACTACAAAATAAAATTTCAGATTATACTATGTGATGTTTCTAATCCAATTAATGGTGTGATTTGATAAAGAATTCAAGAAATATTATATACCAAATATAGTCCACAATCATTCTTATGTAAGTGACAATTTTTTTTAATATCCCCAAGATTAAGCTTCTCATTCATTTTTTTTTTAATTACAAAATTACTTCAACACAAAAGTTGTTGAGGATCTATAAAACGATCGGTGTGTGCTATTGATTTTTGAATTCTAGAGAGGATTCTAGATGATAGAGATAATAGAATGAATATAAAGAGTGAAGAATCGTGATTTAGGCAACTTTGACTAATCTATTAAATGAAAGATGCGTGTTTGGGGAACAAAATTATCACCAAATTGATTAACATGTATGAGTGAAGTGATTTCCTTATTATTATTATTATTATTTTTTTTTTTTACTATAATTTATCAGTAATTTTAAGATAAAATTAATTACAAAGTAATTCTTGAAATTTTCTCAAAAACAATGTAAGGGGTGATTAATCGACTGGGCCCAAGCTAGTTGCATAATTTGATCGACATAATCCAATTAATATCATTAATACCCAGTCAATTAAGAAAAAAAGTATTTGTACAGAAAAAAAGAACTAGAATTGCACCAGAATAGAGACAAATGCGGCCCCCACCATGTATTTAAAAAGAAAAAAATGTGCGAGCCCCACCCTTATGTGAGTGGTGTGTTGCAATTCTGATGATTTTTTTCTGGTTGTGCAACAAAGCTCGTCAATTAATACGAGACTATTTGCCAATGCTATTTAATTTATAGAATAACAAAATATTATGAATGATGCAAAACAAAAACCTATTTGGATGACTATTGATTCGTAACATTTGTCAGCTCATCGAGTAGTGATATTTATCATTATGATGATAAAATATCGAATCGATGATGTGACAACTCATTATCTCTTACATCTCTTTCTCCTTTCCCCATCTTTCATAAAAAAAATTGAACTGTCCAATCATATTATTTAATATAGATAGCCATATTATCGATGTTCCATCATCGTAATGAAAAATAAGTAAAATAACATTATTCTAGTCGTTTAGCTTAATCCTTCCATTTGTAATGCCATAAATTTCTCTTAATTCTTTTCCTACTCTTAGGTTATTTTCTAATGATGCAAGATGTTGAGTAATAATAGAAAATATTTCAACCATATTAAGAATATAATATATATTATTTTGTACTAAACATATACATCAAAGTCAATATTGATCCCAATAGAGTTTTGTGTTTGGCGAGCTGTCTCCACACTTCACCTTACTCTAATATTAAACGTTCATGTTTGGATTTTATAATAATTTTCGAATAATTTAAGTTAAAATTAAATATTAATTTTATTTACATATTTATAACTAGTAGCTGTTTATTATCTACAAATTTCGTAGGATTCATTAAAAATTTTGACACACGGTCGATTAGATAATACAGAAAGAAGCCTGCAAATTAATATTTAAGAAAGTATTAATCCGTACTCGACAACCTTTTTTGCACATAATTAATCCAAAACCACCTTTAGTAAACCTATTAATTAAAAACTAAATCCTTCTTAGCCCACAGATTAAGACACACCACCCCAAAATATAGTATTATCCGTGTGAAATTCACTAAAGCGATTTTTTTATTATGTAGCCATGTGGGCGGCATGAAGAAGAGAAAATGTAACATAGGATGTATCGAAGTTTGCAACTAGGGATTTACTCAAGTTTAAGGATCTTGCAGACCATGTTCCTCACATGCATGTTCTCGTTTTGAGGATTTCTTGACGGGTAAAATTGTCTATTCAAATCATGATATCTTATAGAACTATCCGTTTCGAATCACCTAAAGGACATGAAACGTGATGTGTACCGATGACAAATGCTAAAACAAAGTGCCAAGCCCATCATCAAGATTAACTTTGACATGTTCATATACAACCGCTCAAATTACGACACCTTACACAACGAGTGAATTCGTCCATCCACTCGACATCTCGTGACTTGAATGAACAATCCTATTACGTGGGCATATAAAATCATCCACTCGTTTGGGATAGAAATGAAAAGAAATTGAAAAGGGTGATGAATTTTCTTCATGAAATTGATCCAACTTTGTCCTAGAGATTTTTGTGTTACATTTTCAGGTTTAAGAGTCCTGCTCCAAAAGAAATTTAAGATATTTTGCAGAAGTAAAATAATGCATGCAAGGTTCTCGGGTATACTATATCTGAAACCCTATTGGCGGTTTTAGTGGACAAGGGGCTGTCAAATAGGCTGCAAAGGCACGTGATGACAACATGGCCATAGAAGAAGAAACCATGATTTCTTCTCCGGGTTTGGGGTGGGGTGGGGTGGGTGACG